TTGACTGTATTCTATTCTATTTCTAAAGTGAACCTTGATTGAATGTAGGGTTTAAATGAAGGTTTCCCATTAAAAATGAGAAAATTCAGAGGCTTAGCAAGCTAATTTACAAAAATGTGCTTAAAATCAGACTGAGCATCTGACTGCTATCTCCGCACAGGGTAGTTAGGGTACGAACCTTGGGTTCAGGGCCACTGAATTCTGTCCGTCGGCCCCCTCTGTTGGTCACTTCGAAGTACTTCACCCGTGCTTTTCAGCATGCCTGCCATCCTGGTGAGTGTAACGGCTTATAGTGACACACCCCATTACACAGGTGCATTTCGTGGCCACTGCCACCATTGCTGCGCGTCTATGGCCGCTGCCGCCGTGGCTGCGCGTCTACGCTCCCGCCGTGGCTGCGCGTCTACTGCCGCTGCCGCCGTGGCTGCGCGTCTACGCTCCCGCCGTGGCTGCGCGTCTACTGCCGCTGCCGCCGTGGCTGCGCGTCTACGCTCCCGCCATGGCTGCGCGTCTATTGCCACTCCCGCCATTAAAAAATAAGCACTGGGCACATTGGATAAAACAATTTCTTCTCCGGAGGCTGGAATATACATCCTGAAGACAGAATTGTAAGTGATAGCATGGGAGATTAAAAAAAAAACATTTCTACTCTCCAAGAAGAGGAGATTCCTTTGTTTTTTGCCTACCAAACAAAACATACATGCCCCTGAAATAAAAGCAGCTCGGGGCTTTTGTGTGTCAGTTTGTGTGCTTGTCCAGCAACTTCTTTTTTTTTTTTAATAATTTAAGATGTCATGATCTGCCTCATTCTCGTCCCCGTTTGGCCAGCAGAGGCCGCTGGCCATCCGGAAATCACAATATTGCTCCCAGCCCTAATGTGTTGAGTATCGACACCTGTCTAAAGTTTGTTAATGGTGTTCTGTGTATATATGTGCCCACCCTTGCCATCATCAGCGGCCTGCCCACTGCGTCATCTCCAAAGGGGCCGGGTGTACTTAATTAAATGCATGTTTGCCTGCATGCTGGCATACCTTGCTGCTGTTTGCATTAGTTGTTCCCCTGGGATTAATAAAGTTCATCTAAAATAATCTAACCTAATCTAATCTAATCCTGTCCCACAACAATAAATCATTGCATAACTGACTGGTCAGGGAATGGCTGGCCTCCTTTTAACCTGGCAAACACACTGTTTTGCCTGAAAATAAATTACTCTTATCCTCTTCTACTGCCCTTAATTGATTTTACCACACAAGGCAATCCGGAGAATGTGTGACTGATACAAGCTCTGCTCCTTCACAGACACACACAGACCTGCAATCATATCTTTGTGGGGACCACTCATTCATTTCTATGGGAAACCTTAACCCCTACCCAGCCCTAAACATAACCATAAGTAAGCAAACAAAATACAAGTCATTTGGCATTTTTAGTTTTGTGATTGCAGTTACAGATTTTTATAAAACTGGGGATAGTATTGTGGGGACCTGAAAAAATGTCCCCACCAGCTAAAAAAGTCATGTTTTACCACGTGGAGATATTTGGTCCCCACAATGTGATAAAAACACCCCCCCCCCCACACACACACACACACACAAATAATCTCTCTTAAATACACATGCACAAATACAAACACAGTTTCTGTCACGCTCTCACATCCATGCACTTACAAACATCACCATCAGCCTGTAATTACTGGCATTCTTTCCAAGGACATCTTGCCAGTTTGATTAATCATTAATATTTCTCGAGTTTACCTCTGTCAATTATACTCCAAAATATTTTTTTCTATTCCACACCAATTGATCATAGGAAACTGGATTTTGAGAAAAAAACTCCATTCTTGATATTATTTGTAAAATAAATTTTACACTAGGAAGTCACCAAGTCCATGGAGTGTCATGCTGGCGTTAAGCTGCCGGGAAGATTCACAAGTGCGAGAGGCAAACATTTTCTGGCACTAAAATTCCTCTTTCTCTGACTCCACAGCACAAACGTGGCTCGCCAGGTTGTCGCTTTTACTTTATAGCCTCTTGCACTGTAGTTCCACAGGTCACTTAGACATTTATTTACAGGAGTCAGTGATGTGGAATATTTACAGGTGTATCTATAAGCAGTTGTTATGGGGGTTGGAATCATATTTTGGCAAAATCTCCTTTATCCTTCTGCTAAGTAGCAGAATGTTCTTTGAACATCAGAGCTAGCAAGCGAGCTGGATTAATGATTGCAGAAGAGAGCTGGTCTGCTTTGTTCTGCAGAACCATAAACAGCACAGTGACTGTGTCTTGCTGTAGGAGAAGGACCAGGGTCACCAGTGCAGTCCAATGCAAAGCCTCCACCAATCAGAGAGAGGGAGACAAAGCACAACATTTATTTACTTGCTCAACTTAATATTATTTTTATTAATTCTCTATTCTTGCTAATATTTGCAAAATGAGTCAAAAAAGACACGCAGCCATATTGGTTTTCGACTGTGAAAAAGACACACAGCCATATTGGTTTTCGACTGTGAAAAAGACACACAGAGCTATATTAGTATTAGGCTGTGAGAAAGAACCACAGAGCCATACTGGTATTAGGCTGTCAGGAAGTGTGACAGGCTGTCATACACCAAATTGTCTGTAGGGGGATACTGGTCCATTCATCAAGAAGAAAAGCTTCCAGTTCTATGGACTATACTGTAATAAATACTGAGAAGTTACTCAAACACAGTGTAATATGCTGTTTGAGACTTGGACAGCATGCAAAGCCGTAAACAAATTCACACGCAGGCCCCAGTTATATAGCTTCCTTATAAGGCTTTTTGACCATGGAAAAAAAAAATAAACAAGCAATTTTTTCCAGCAGAAACTTTAACATTTGCACCTGTTGACTTCACTGTTCCATATCAAATGCCTTTGATAGTTTCTGTCTAATCTACATGAAGAACAAAACAGGTTTAGGAATCAAAGGTAAACTTACTCAACCTGTTTAACTGTCTGCATCCAGATCTTCCCTTTAGCTGTGAGAAATATCTAGGCATGATAATGATCAGCTCCTTGAGGAAAATATTTCACAGTGGAGGCTCATGGGTGCTTTAAAGGAAGAGGGTGAAGGTTTATTTATACTTTATTCGGAAAACATTAAAGCATATTTAACATTGTGAAGATCTGCATGTGCCTTCACAGAAGGCCTTAATCTCTTCAGGGTGACAGTCATTAGATATCTCAATTTCGACTCACTGTAACTAGTTATCTCTTCTTAAATCATTTATACTAAAATTGACAATGGAGATATGAATCATGTTCTTTATGAGACATAACAGACATGGAATCATCAGAGAAAGATGTTAACCAAGCAGCCAAAAGACACAACAGAGCCCAAAGTGACTCCTGTGGATCTAGCATGTCCACCATATTGAGTGAATTGTTCTCAAAGATGATTTTCCCATGAGAAAAATCTTACAAATGTGAGTCTGGGAATCTGCCGATCCGTCCTTATGGCAGAGCAACTGGTATGGCGGCACCAGGCCCGCTCTCTAGGGGGCCCCGCGCAAAAGGGAAAGTTCCCTAGATAATGATAATTAATTAACAAATTAATTAATGACAATAATAATAATAATGTTGTGTGTGTGTGATATATTATATATATATATATACACATTTCATCTGAATACTTTATTTTAACATTAAGACTGTAATGGTACACGTATTGAGTTGTTTGGGAACGTTTTTGTTTACCATTAAATTACACCCGCACTGCAGAGAGAACAGTTCATAAGACCAAGTCAGTGAATACATAATGTGAAATATACAGCTGTCGCACAATACACATGGTAAATAAGTATTTCCTGCCACGAGTAAACTTACAGCTCTGCTCAATACGTGCGGTACAGTACACACTCAAAAGCAAAAAGAGGAAGGCATAAGTTGAAAAAGAAAAAAAATAAAAAACGGGGAAGAAATCTTTATACAATAGCACCCCCTGCTGGGAATTCGTCGGATTCTCCTACAGCAGCCCAGAGCTACGCGACTCAGGGCTTTCCCATGTGCCTCGCAGCGCTGACAATATTACCGGCGTTTTTCGTTGTCATTTCACCACGGTGTTTTATATCGTGGGTTGTGGGTTGCTCCTTTTTATATTGATCAGATGTGACTGATGATTTAAATCAATATTGGTATCACTGTGTGTCCCCATCCCTGCAGCCAGCCACTGCGTGTTGCCTCATGGCTATAATTATCTAAATGACACCGTGGATACTACGCCTGGCACACCACTTCAGGCTTATTATTCCCGATTTCTGTTTGGTTTTTCTTTTCTTTGCAGTGGGGATCCCATGAATGCAGTACACAGCAGCTCAGTAAGTTCAGCATTTCATAAGAAATTAAACATTATGATTCAGATTTCTTATGGCAAGTCTAAAGAGCCAGTGTCGTGTTATTACCACACCAGAGCAGGTAAGTCAATGCAGGCAAGCAGAGACAAGTTTTAAATGTATCTAAGCTCTCTATCCATCTTCCAGGCGTGTATCCAGTACCAGGTCACAGAGGGGGTCCTGGAGCCTGTCCCAGACAGTGGGGCACCCGGCACTGGATTCCAGTCCATCACAGGCCTCATTAAGCCCCAGTCAGTGCCGACGACACACAGTGTGTCCCACCAGGATGGGGGTGAAGAGCCACAGATTTGGATAAATAGATAAATAATGGAGGACTTGAAGGCAGGATCAGGCCACCTTCTTCTAAACTATGCAGTGGATAGAACACAAAGCGTGTAGAAGCACATAGGCTTTATCTGCAAGTGAGCACATGAGAATAAACTCCAGAGTACCTCATAAGGCAGAAGCCTCTGGGCATGAAGACTGAGAACTCTGCTGAGCTGAAGGCTGCAGTGCTGTCTGGTTTGGGTTGAGTGTTTGTGACGCCTCCTCAGTCTTTGTGCCCAGTGCCCCCCAAAGGCTTCATGTAGCTAACTAGGGACACACATGAGAATGACTCATTTAAAACAAGCACTTTGGCCAGTACAGGCTTCTGGGCTCAGATCAGCGGCTGAGAGTGTAATTCAGGATCAGAAGCCCCTCCTGTCTGACAGTGACATGAGAGCAGCAAAGTCACAAGCTGAGGATCGCACCAGACTGTAAGGCCAAACCTTCCCAGGAAGCCCTGTGTTCCACAACTCCTGGCCATATACAGCATGTCATTATCGGCAGTTCCTGTGACTTACTGATTGGTCTCAAAGCTGTAAGCTACCTCTTATGGGTAAACAACATTAACTAAGAGAATGAGACGTTTAATAACCTAAGAATTCAGCAGCTGACGAATCGTCTTGCCTGTGTGGAAAATCTGTAGGTGCCCCGGTTCCCCAAATAAGGTTGGGACCCTAGGGAAACGCTACCTCAGAATCTGCTGGAATCTGCTGCTGGAAGCATGACGGCACCAACAGCTGCCGGCTGGAATAAAGGAGAGTCCGGAGCACTTCTCAGCATGACAAACAGGGACTGCTGCTTGTCTTAAAGGCAGGAGGAGTAGGCGACTCAGTGGCTTCCCACCTTATGTGGATTTGATTCCGGCACCCAGCTTCCTGAATGGAGTTTGCATGAATGGATGGATGAAATAAATCAGTGTAGCCACTAGGGAGAGCCGTGAAATAGCGCAATATATTGTTTCTTCGGCCACAAAGTGGCGACAAAGATCGGAATAAGCGTTTGCGCTGGCGCTTCTTACAAGCCCTAAATCATTAAGGAAAAACTAACAACACGGATTTTGTTTCCATGAAACCGTCTTTGCTCCCGGTATTTAGTTACACTTCGCAGCTAGATTGTTAGACAAGCCTCTTTCACAGTTTCCGTAGTTTGTACATATTGTATTTTTAGGAGCAAAGCCAGATTCTCATATTAGAATAAATCCCGTGAATGTTTCTAGTGCTTGTTTTAGTGCTTGTAAAATTTTCAACGTTTGAAGTGGTCAGAGGCCAGCACATTAACAGTTTAATCTATCAAACTATCAGTTTTAAAAGCTTACGACTAGCAAACTACTACAGGTTGCTGTCGAGCTGTCAGTTCAAAGTGAATATGTATAAACGCAGAAAAAAATGAACGTGAAAGCGATACTATACATAAATCACCATGTATCTTTCAGTGAAAGTTACTTTCAATAGCGAGCCACGCAAGACATCAAAAGGGCGGAAATTTAGATTCAGGTAAACTAGGGCTGCTTCGGTTTAGCTCTCAGTCCACGCCCAGATATACAATGCGAAATATAAAACCACATGCGGATTTACCGCCTGGGACTTACAGGTGAGATGCTCAGAGGGAGCCCATCTCCACTTATTGCCTCATCTTAACATGCTGAATGCATAACATTTAGAAATCAACAGCCACTTCTTCTTACGTGGGCTTCATTCTCAAGTCTTCATCGCAAGCAGTTATTAAAATAGCAGAATTCGCAGGGGACCGATAATACTGGCTGAAGATCCAATCGAGGGACAATTTGTTCTTGAAAAATGCACCAACAGGGACAGGATGTGGGTGTCCGAAGTGATGCTTTTTACCCCAGCGATTGCTCGCCGCTGCCAGGAGAACCTGCTACGTCCAAAAGCGAACCAGACTCGCCGCTTTGCGCCTCCAGCCAGACGAAGAACTTGAGGGAAGACGACGCTTTGTCAGGGGAGACGCGAAACTCCCAAAAAGGTTGGCTTGTAGTTTCCAGATAGTCTCAGCTGTATATGCGAAATTCATTTTCTAATAATTAAGTTCATAATCAATACATACATTGTTATCCCGATGACATGCTAATTAATTATACTGAAGAGATCAATCTATACGTGCAAAACATCTGTTTTACATGTTATTTCAGTATGTCTTGTTAAAGTTATTAGCTTGACTGTTTATGAATAAGCTCGCAACGAGATGCCGTTTATGGGAACACTATACGTAACACTGAGATGTCAGAGAGTACGCGTTGCACACGGTGATTAGTCTAATGTTCCTGTTTTCTCAGGTTGTAAAATCTCAGAGCCTAAACCTGAGAAACGGTACTTAGGAGTCCGTGTGCGAATGCCAGTCAGAGACATGCTTAGACGGATACGCATCGCCAAGGGGGTGGACCCGGCAGCCCTGCAGGTGATCACACCTCTGCTCCCCTCGGTTTAGCTTCGGCGTTTACCATGCAACATGTTCTCTTGCCCTTATCCATATTATAATTATAACGGTAAAAAGTATAACATTTTATTGTCAGGCTTACGTTCTAACGACTTTCCTTTTCAATAGGGCACCACAGGAAAGACGTCGAAAGGTTCAGGTACTGAAATGGACTAGGCCTATTCATTTTCAAAATAATAAATGGCATACAAATACATCAAATCGTTAGCTGAGCTTTATAAATGCACATTTAAAAACGTGCATGTTTGATAATGCAATGATTTTTGCAGGGGAAAAGAAACGGGTACCTTCAAGTGGAGATCGCCGCAGCAGGGCGGTGAGTTCAGGATTACGACGTCATTAAATGAGGACACGTGCCCCTAAATGGGGGGCTTGGTTACCTGTTATTAATGCTGTCCAAGCAAGGGCGTAAGCTTAATTTCTACATTGGCAAGGTCCAAATCTCATAACCCTGACACGGGGTGTCCATCAAGAAACTTTGCGATGGGACTCTCTGGCATATTGGGCCTGAGGGCAGATGCCCCTCCGCCCCGCCCCCCTCCCCCGCTGCTGGCACTCCCATTTCCAGACCATCCATAACCAAATCCAACATATAATCTAGTGAATTTACATACTCCAGACATACTGATGTCTGTCCTTTTCTATGATCACTCTGTTATTAACATTTTTATCTAATGGAATTAATAGCTGAAAACATCACTTTTAATGCAGTAGTTAAGGACTATAGTCATTCTTTTTAATTAGATGAAATACTATGTAAATGATCATGCAATCCTGTTATCCATAGTCCATTGGTAATCCAGGATCAGAATTTCTGGTAACAATTTACTTTAACTTCTGCTTCTTAACTCTTGATAAACTGATACTAATAAATTGATAATGTGTTATTTTCATACTTTACATCCTGCTACTGTATTTACAAAAAAGCTCTTTCGTAAAATAGGAGTAAGATATCTCTGTAAGACATATTGGTACCACTTTACAATAAGACAACCCTCATAAAGGGTTTATAAATGGTTTAAAATCAGGTTATTAATTAGGTTGTAACACTTTGTAAATCATTAATAGAGAAAAGAAGTCATTAGTAGAAGTTATAACAGTAATTTTTTTTATTAATGAATTTATAGGTGGTAAAAGAGATCCTTAGTGAAAAGTGTTACTGACATTTCTAAATTTGGTAAGATCTTTTCATTTACTAATATATTATCAAATTTGATTAGTAACAGTTTATTAATCAGACCATTAAGGAGCAGACTATTAAGGTTCAGGTCCAGGCCAAGCTAATATCTTAGTATTCTTACAAATGCATTGCTTTTTAATTTTAAGTGACTTACAAACTCTTTGGTAAATATTTTGAAACGAGTAAGATATCTTGGTAATGCATACCTAAATTTGATGGTAAGTGAATCTTTTAATTTACTAATGTATTATCAAATGATTAGTAAGAGTTTATTCATGGTTATGGTGCAGACCTTAAACTAAAGTGTTACCAAATATCTAATTCCTGTCCTTAATGTATATAAGTGGAAAAGGTTTGTCTCTAAATCATTCCGGTCTTTCTGTGGTTGTCTAGTGGTCTAGCCTACACCACATTACTTAAAGCAGACGCCTTTATATGCCATCTCTGTCAAATCTAGAAGGCAGCGCTCCAGCAAAGCCAACGAAGAAGAATATGAAACAAGGCCGGCTTACATTGAAGTGTGTGGAGCTGCAGACGAATAAAGCAAATGAGTAAATTAAAGATAAAGCTGTTTGATTAAAAAAATCTAACTGGTTTGTTGGGAGAAGTTAATGTACCGGTAACTGGTCACATTTTGTGCACGAGTACAGAAGTTGGTTAAGGAGATTTTTTTTTTCTTCAGAATAAAAAACAAATCAAGAGCCTGGAGGACCTGGCCATTATCGTGGAAGTGTTAGAGGAAGACCTCAAAGCCAGCAAGAAGAGACACCCTGAAGGGGCCTTTTCAGCAGCCATCTTCACTGGGTGGGAGGAAGACTGTAGGGGGGAGGATTTCCCCTGTCAAAACCAAATGTTCAAACACAGTCTTAGATCAAGCCCAGCTGTGATGCAGGAGAGCCCAACACCCTCAGAGGTCTCTCCAACAAGCCCCACAAATCAAGCATGGAGCTTCTCTCCAAATCCAATGAGCACAGAAGACATGGTCCCCTCTCCCACCGTTTGGGGCAGCCTTTACAGTGACGACTCGGAGGAAAGGTTCCCCAGCCCCCAACCAGCCTTGCCCCCCCCAAACAGCCATGCCAAATGGCTGGGACCATCACCCCCAAACTCCTCCCCTAACAGCCCCCAAGACCTCCGCGGGAAGCGTCTCCTGGAGCAGGGAGTCCTTCCCACCTGCTGGGCCAGTCAGTTGGCTGGTGACTGGGATGGAATGTCTTTTTTCTTGTTCCAGCTACAGAAGCAGGAGTCACTGCTAAGGGGAGTTGCTGAGGAGGAGCTCCTGGCCACGGATGACAAGGGAAGAACGTAAGTTCACTCCCCCAAGCTCGCTATCATGTGGTACAGCAGGACCATGTAACATGACATGGCCATCTTCAATCTAACCTAACCGTTAATGGGTTTTATGAAATCATTTTTGGAACAGACACCTCAGGTGACATGCTATGTCCCACAGAGCTGTACCCGTCAAGGAATGGATCCGTTGTGTTAGTGTAGTCCTGTGACCACTCAAAAAATGACTAATATCATGACTACCTATTTCATGGGGAGGGAAAAACAATATGTTCACATTGATTTTTCTACCATGACAGGCAAGACATTACTTGTTTGCTCCTTAGGCTTGGCTTGAGAATGATCTCAGCCCTTCAGCTTCTTTGCAGGCTGAAATTAAGTTTGCTATTATGTGCAAACTATGCACAATCAAACTCTTGAAAAATACCGGCTTTTTATATATAAATCCCCTGTGTCATTATATACCTTTACAGCACAGCTGCATATTTTTGGAGAGCCAGGAGGTGGGTTGCTTACTCATCTGTTGACTTTCCAAGGAATATTATTCAGTGGAGATATTAATCTCATTTTTCTGGAAAACAAGTCCAGCATAGATCCTGAACTGCGCCTCCAGTGAAAAACTTTATCTGACTCATAAACCAAGCATCTTTCTGTCATGTCTGCATGCAATGACATATGAAACCACAAAAATCAGAGATTTCCTAGAAAATTATCTGTAATTCTCCCTCATAAGTCCCAGTAGGTGTCTGTTACAGGATGTATATGTTAGCTCCATCTCTAACCCAGCAAAAAAAGTTCTAATAAGATTAATTATTCTAATAAGAATAATTCTACAAAGTCACTGTGATTCAGGATCTGGCCTGCTTTAGTGCCTTAGTACCATAAACTAGGGCTTTCCTAGTCCCTGATGGGTGCAGCAGTGCTCCATCCTCAGCTACATTAATCTATCATTTTATTTCACTAAAGCCACAGGTGGAGCATCACCAAGGATAAGCTGGGAGGTGCTTAGGGGGGCAGAGCAGAGCAGCATGCTCCTGCTGACAGGGCTCATCTGTGGCCCATGTATGACATGAAGAACTTCTGTAACAAATGCCCACTCCTTTTGCTAGACTGCTCCACGGCGCAGTGACCGAAGGGAAGAGAGCACTGGCCCATGTGATTGCCAGAAGAATGGCAGCTGTAAACCAGCTGGACATCAGAGATTCAGGCGGAAAGGTAAAGCAAAGGAGCCGGCACATGGTGCGTCAGCTGTGCGGAGAGGGTGCGGCCATGATCGGCTTACAGATCTGCTGCACGAATCATCGATGATAACTTATGGTGCAAGATACGACTTTGTATCTGTTGAGAATTTTGGGTTCCTAGAACATTGTGAAGAGGAAGTGAGGCACGGGTTGGTCATCTCAAGGGCGTCTGGTTCTTCCTGTTCCAGACAGCGCTTCACCTGTCAGCCCAGAGGAACCAGCACTTAATGGTGGCTGACCTGCTCTTCTTTGGTGCCAATGTCAACCTAAGGGACAAGTCTGGGAAGACATGCCTCCATCTCAGTGCTGAAAATGGCTACGTCAGAGTCCTGGAGGTAAAGGAGAGACCATGACTGGCTCAGCTGGCCCCTGCACTAACAGCTCACCCTGACTTCTGTGCGGGTATTATATTCAGACTGCGTTCACTTTTATTACTGGCTTCGGATGCGTTTTGGCAGGTGATACCTTCCCCTAAAGCAGCCCATTGTTTACTCAGTTCACAGGATAATTCAGATGAAGCACCACGCAGCAGCAGATCCGCTCCCAAGCTCCCAACCATCAACCTTCCACATGAATCCATATATTTCCGTTTCTTTCCGTTATAGGTTTTGAGACAAGCAGTACATAACGGCATGTATTTGGACATCGAAGCCAGAGATGCAAACGGTATGTATGACAAAAATAAATCGATTTAAAAATCGCAAAACACAATGTGCACAGCAAATGGAAACAGGCCCAAAATAAAAAATACGAACACGTCACCTTGGCTGCTCATTCCTCATTCTAGACACGATTCATAAATAGTGCCTCTGTAACACATGATCTGTGTGTATAGTGATATGTTCTTTTGCTCAGTGACCGAAGTTACAGTTCACACTGCAGAGAGAATATTAACTTCATCTGTAAGAATTTGCAAGAACTTAATATCCTGTAAGAACCACACCTGTGGCCGTTTATTGCAGCAGTCTCTCCGCACTGCCTGTGCCTGGTAGATTGCCGGCTTGCACTCACATTCTTGAACATGCACCCTCTTCGTTTCCCTCCCATCTGCCCCCGCCCCCCCACCAGGGATGAGCGCGCTGCAGTGTGCCTTGAACGCACTGGATGCAAACACAGGGGCTCTAGGGGGGAGTGTGGCCCCCAGCCAGATGAGGCTGCACATGCTGTGCAGGGAGCAGCTCCTGGACTCCCTGGAGTGTCTGCTGCACATGGGGGCCGGCTGGCACGGCCCGGGCCCCGCCCAGAGCTGCGCACTCGCTGTAAGCCATCCTGACGTAGCCGGAGCTGTGTCATAGCGTGCCAGCCTGAGTCAGAGTGACTGCAGAAACGTGTTTTGACACCACCTTGGCAGTGCCTAGTTACCTGGGAAGAAGTTTTTAAAACATAACCTTAGAAAAGTGAGTCTCCCCTTCAGAAAGCTGCACTGACAATCTGCCTGTCATGAAAGGTGATGCTATGGAACTCGGAGAAGACAAGGCAGGCCACGGATTCAGAGAGACTTCAGTTGTTCTTCTTATGTTATGTTGTCAGCTTTTTCCAGGGGTTTAAACATTTTAACTCGTTAACTGAAACGGTCTTAGGAAGCAATAATTTAAAAAAACATGTTTGGTATTTTTCCAATGAGCCGAGCTCCAGCAGGGGAACATTAACTCAGAGTGTATAAGCACTGAAAATGAGCATCACAGAAGTCAGACCAGAGTGGTAAATTGTAGTTGACAGGTGTGTTTGCTCCCTGTGTTTACCTTACCATCTTAAAATTAGCACCATTGCTATCATAGAAACTTACATCTCCTCCAGTAGCACGTTTAGCATGCTGCCTTTAAAGCCCATCATTACACCCATCTTTGAGGTTTTGACAAGAAAAGCCTGTGAGCCTGTCACGCAGAAAAGTGACTAGGTTGGCATGAAGTATTTGCTCGGGAAGCCATTTCCTTACAGAGGGCACAGTTCTGCTCTGCCGTTGACAGACGTTCATTGTCGACTTCCTCCTCTGCAGGACCATGAAGGGCAGCCGGCCCGTAGCTCCGTGTGGGTTCGGCCCACGGAGGGAGCCCTGCTGTAGGGGCACCAACCTGACACAGTGTGGGAGGTGAGTGACAGCAGGCAGCTGCAGAACTCGCTCTCTACACTTAACACTCATCACCTTAATGTTCACTTTTTGTGTTGGTTTGTTGTAGCGGTTATTCAGATGGATTTTTTTTAATAGTTCCAGTTAAGTACATCTGTCCAAGGACTCATGGAAGACAACAGAAGGCTGCTGATTCACAAGACCACCTCCCTAACTAAAAAAAAAATCCCCTATGCCTAGAACATCGTGACATGATTCTTTTCTCCTTCTTTTCCAGGTAAATCCACATTTTTTTCTGCCAAGAAAGGCAGCCCCGAGAACTGACAGTACACGTTTTTGAGTCGGCACAAGCCTGAGCACATCTTGGAACAAAGGACCTTTTGGCCTGAGCAAGAACCCATTAGCCTTCAAGAAAACCCACCTGCCATTAACAGAGCAGTTCAGTTTGCATGATGCTCATATGCAGTTCCAAGGTATGCCTCAGATTTTGCGTAATGCAACCAGAGTTATGAAAGACAGGCACCTGGGGACAGACCCTAGGATTCCGCTGACCTTTTGCAAGACTGGTTTCATGTTAGTTGGTTTCTGTGAAACTTCCATAGTTTGTTAAATTAATGCAGTAAAGTTGAAAAACTGAAAGTGTAGCGAGTCACTGGTTCAGTAAAGTGACCCAGATGCATACTAATATTTTTCTGCTTCTTGTCTGCAGACAGATGAAGCAATTTGAGTGAGTACAAAACTGATGATGAATGCTTATGCTGACATTCAACATATACAGTTAAGCTTCATTTGAAGTTTTCTAACTATTTCCTGCAATTTATGATGATTAAACAAAGGTACTTCCTAAACATAAACCTATCAAAGTATTTCCTATGGGATTGTTTAGGGAGTGTAGTTAGATTCTTTGTACTTATACGAGTATCTACTTTTAGAAATACATTTAGTTTTAGGAATGTTTACCAGCTGTCCAAGTATTACATGTTATGAAACATATAGTTTTAGTTTGAGAAATGCATTATTTTACCTAGACCAGGATAAGCAGTGGATGAATAAAAAAATAAACGGAATTAATTATTTTACAGGGTTGCATACGTAAACTGCGGCTAAGCACGCAGCCTTGCTAAAGTACCTGTAACATTATATTTGTCGAACCTGTCAGACTGACGTAGCTCAAATAAAGGACAAAATGAAAATAAAAAAGCTCTGGTTAAGGACTGATTTTACGGTCTTTTTAACTTCCAAAAAGAAAAGAAAAAAAACTCGCCTATCTAGTCTAAGATTCCAATTTACAAACACAGCAGAACATGGCTGTATCACTCAAACACCAAAAAAAAACATTTGTTTTATTTGCGAACGTCTTGAGTAACAGATAAAATCTGATGTCAATCCTGTTGATATTGATTACATTCAATGAGTCTGGTTTCCTGGAAAGGAGTTTGAGGGGAATTCCACCAAAGCTCTGCTCTGTCACCTTGACAATGACTGTATTGTGTATCTTGATAAATTAAGGCTTATTTTGTTATTTTTATATTTCGTTAAATGAATCGCGCGGTTTCACGCAGTCCTCCTCGGCAGCCTCAAATCTCTGTAGGAAAATGAGGATTATAACCCGGAAAAGGGAGCGTGCAGGCAGCCAGTGTAAAGATCATGACAGGAATGTTGTCTTAAAAGATAAATCACATCCATATACTGTAGACGGACAGGAAAACATGCAGAGGGTGGTGACGCTGACACTTGTACAAAGACGCACACAGACTCTCGATATAAGTCGGAACGGAAAGTGGCGACAGGTTATCAAAAAAACGAAAGGCCAGCGGCTGCACGCGCTGCATTTCTCGTCTGGATGTAATAGATGCTTTTCATCTAGTTGTGACCGAAATAAAATCTGTAGCAGGACTGTGGTTAAGGGTAAGACACATCACCCCTTTCCCTTCTGGTGCTTGTCCGGTCAGCTACTTTAACTTGAAAATGACACGAGGTCAGTTTGATAATTCACCCGCTCCTACTTTAACGCACATGACAACCCAGAATGGAAATATTATTATTTTTTCACAGATATGTTCATGCACTTAAAAACACTGCTTTGCGTATTATCTTATTGCATTGTTCGGGAATCGCTATTCACTATAGCAAATAATGCGAAATTGCTATTAATTATGTGCTAGCTCCTGGAAGCATCCCGGCCTGAATTCACGGAGGATGTCATGGCATTATCGTGTTTCATGACCGCAGGGTAGCGCACACAACTGCCTACTTCTCACGCATGTTTACCTAACAGATCACTTAGAAGCTGCTGGAACGAGATTAAATGCGTCTGTGGCACCTGCGAGGCAATTTTGAAGTGCAAAATAAAGCCGTCTTAAAGCAGATACGTGGAATTTAAACTTTAGTAACATCCAAGCGAGGACACTCCTTTGCTATAATGACAGTTGCACCCCAGGCGACGTGACCACACGCCTTACAAAGTGATCGACCTAAAACCAGTCAGGTCACGTGTTCAGTCGCTCATGTCTGATGAGCCCGCTGTTTCACCGTATATTTCCTTTGCAAAAGTGGTGAATCTCATTATTTCTGTAGTAAATGACATATATTTCAAAGTGCCAATCTATTCTTATTTCCGAAGTGATCCACCTCTCCAAAAGAAGCTTTTAATATCCCTTCTTCTATGTGTTTGATTAGCACAGGTAATGCATATGACGTTCGAAATGCTTCGTTTGCCAGTTTTATGAGTATGAACAATCAGCAAATCAGGAGACGATATGTACAGTACTGGGGGCAAGAGTTACAAACTCGCAGCTCTGCCTCTGGGGTACTTAGTCTCCATTACACCTTTTGACTGCTTGGTTTGAAATTCGGTGGTATATTACAGTATTTACCGGATAATGCTCTAGCGTCTTTGCATTACTAAAATCATCTCTGTTGAAAAGCTTGTCTTATTCCCACGGTGTACTTTTCTGAATATAGGAGTAAGTCTGCAGACTTTAAACCAGAAAACGAATTGTTACAAAACGTCCGGCACTAAACACGTGACTCTGGGCAATAATTGCAGATTATAGGCCTACTGATAATGATTAAGTTTGATTACACCTTCCATATAATAATATGTGCACTTCTTACCGCAAATTCAATCCTTAAATAAATATATTTTAAGCACTTTAACAACAAATTGTGTTTTTCCCCTTCGTAATACGGAATACACGGATTCGAATGGATGCATAAGCCGAACAGTTGCAATAATTCCCCATATTTTCCCGTATTCCAATAGGCCTACAATTAACCTAGTAGGCTCAATGCCCCCTTAGCGAAATGGCAGTACCATAATTATAGCGGCGTTGTGCCAATCAATATAGGTAGGCGCGTACAAACTCCAATTTTCTGTAACCGCTTGTCGCGGGGGGTCCGGGGTCTATACGGCGGAGGAAAAAGGGCGGAAGTCAAGGAACAACCCAGAGGGTTTGGCCCCATCCCAACGCAGGCCATGCCTACCCAATATTTAGACAAAATGTAACGTACAAATTAATTACTCAGTCAGGCAATAACGTGCCTACATAGACTGTGAATAATACGTCGGTAAAGTTGCAGTCAAGGTAATCAGGCCAATGAGCTTCCTTCGTCAGATCGTATCTTTTAAAACGCCCCCCCTTCCTCGCCATTAATTCCCTTCTTCTACCGATACCTCATACATCAGCAGCATGTTATCATGACACTCACGACGCACATCTCAGCGACAGTAAACAGGCTTACCTGGACATGTTTGGATGCATAAAATAGTTATACAAAGTTTCAAGAACATTAATATCTGCATAGCCTATATGTATTTTTAATATTTTATGTGTGGTTTCCAAATGGTGCCTACCCACAAATTTGGTTTGGACAACGCCCCTGCATAAGTATATATATACACAAGTTCTGAAAAAAATAGTACTTCAACCAATTCAGGCAATTCATCTTATGGTTTATGCAGGAGATTGTCGCGGGGAAATAAAACAACAATAGTTAGTTTGCGAGCTTGTTATCTCAACAACTATACAACATAGGCCTATACTATCATAAGGAAGACATTTTTGCAACTTTCCTACTCCACCTAAGTATTGTAGCCTATATAGGCGTAGACAATTACGTATAAAAGCAATACGTTTATTCAAAAACTGAAGACTGTTTACATACCACTCGAAATGGGCAATAATTATATGCCCTGAGTTACGTGGTATTTGCCAAAGGATTCTGTTTTGTTTTGAAATGATTAAATGTAAATTTAAGGATATGTCATATTAGTGTCACATACACTAAAAATGAATTAACCACCCAGTCTATGCCTTTACAACAAAGCAGTCACATCACGGATTCCTAAAACAATAAGGAACAAATCAGTGCCTGTGCCCGTGAACCAGCCGTAGAATTAAAATTCTGCTTTACTAATACAATAAGAATACAGGTGGATTTAAATTCTTAAGACAACGTATAGCACCCCCTATAGACTGCGCAGGCTATCCATCAAATTAATCTTCGCTTCAGAAAACCGCTTCCACTGAAAACAACCTCAATCTCTCATTAAATGAGAAAAAAAACATACAAATACATTAATCCTTAAAACTAAAAACAATTAAAAGGAATATAAATTACTCACTGAAATAGCCGAAGAAATACCTAGTAGAACTTGAGAAAAGTTGAATGACCCTTTACACAAGCGGCGAAAAGCGAGCGACTATACTCTTCTGTAATTAAAAAATAATCCATATGCACAAAGCCACAAAACGGGAATGGAACATTGGACCTACTCGGCACTGACTGATGAAAATCCCCCCAGTATATCTTTATACAAAGTGTAACAAATATGTACTAAGTTTTTCGGAAAAAGTAAATATGACTTGAAAACAAAAATTAAAAGAATACCACTGTGTTTAGGTATCTGGTCTAAAGTGAACATGAGCAGGGTTAGCTGGATGAATATTAAAATAACAAATAAATCTCTATTTCCACACAGGCGGCAGGAAACGGATAGCGGATTCCAAAAATATTATACCACTAGTAAATGGGCTAAACATACGCCCATGGATAGATTTAGTGCCGCTAACTGCTCTAAAAATTACCAAATCACTCCGTGCATTTAATAACCAGAAGCCAAGACCCCGTACCCCATGTGCACGTACCCTCCTTCCCTATCATACATGTTACTCGGCCCGCCTCACCATGAATCTGGCTCAGACAGCTCCAGTTCTGCTTCTTTTTCCTCGACATAAATGTCAAAACTGACCTACAGAGCTTAATTATCGCCCTCCGGTAGTAAAATTTCCCAAAGCAAATAGTTCTCAACAAAGAATTGAAAGCAACCTTTATGTGATTAAAAAAAATAAGCTTTATAAAAATTCAGTTTTTAATGGGACTTTATTTTATTGTTTCGAAATACCCCAAAAAATTTAAAATCATCGAGTAGTGTTATCAAACAAATTTTAGCCTATGTATTATACTTGACAATTTTATTTTCTTTTTATTGCTTGTTATAGACCTAACCATTCAAACATACACACAGAGACCTCGCTAGGGCTGTTTTCAAATAAACTAGTTTAGTGTGTTCTTTCATTTTCATAAAATTCAGACCGCCCAGTAAAGACTCAGACCCGCATTTCATAAATTAAAAAGTAGCGCTCTATATATAGGCTAACGTAGGCCTATTTAAATTGTCTTATAAATTTTCAATTTTTAAAGTAGTTAAATGTATACAAATGTAACTAATTGTTTAGTTTATTTTAATAAATCGATGGTCCTAATAGCATTTAATGGCCCGTAAACCAAAATAGACCAAAGTCACCGAAACGCCAAATATGCTTAAACAAATACAAATAGCCTAGGCCTACTTAAAATTTTTGGGAAAAATCTCTTATCCAAGTTTCATCTTATCCGCCTAAAGGCATGGATTTACTGGACTTTGCGGTGCCGAATCTATCGAAAATAACTGACATCTTATTTTCTTTGAAGTAGCTTACTTCGTGACTGCATTGATCGCCCAAGATGATGACATTCTCAGTCATCCCACACTTCTGTTGGCTGTATTTAAAGCCGACTTAGAAAAATGCACAACCTATGCCCCGGTTGTCAATTAAAACACCATTAATTAATCTGAGTTTTTAAAACGTTAACTTGAATGCTTAGAAATGTCTCATCGATTTACGTAAAGAAAACTTCATATATTCAAGCAGCTGCTAGAAATTCATTTTCAGTTACCCCTTTAACTACCAGGTATATGTTAGCGACTTTTTTTTCCCCAATAGTCTGTGGCCAAATTAAGTATATTCTTGCTAAGTTCTCCGTCGCCCCCTGTGGACAGCATTCAGCATAAATTTAAACCACACCTCCACTTACAAAAACGAAAACTATCAGTTTGGCCAACAACATTTTATGGTGGAGTTAGGAAACACTTTCGTTTCCGGACACCTTGTTAATCATAATCAACACTATTACCAATTAAATGTTTAATCACATAAATGATTAAAGCAATGGCATTTTCTTAGATTACCCACTCAGCTACCGTATCAAGGCAACGTTTTTACAAATATTTCTGGCTGTACTGATATCACGACAACGACGTTACAGCATAAGCGAGGTCTTTCGACGATCGACAGCCGTGTAGCCTATAGTGACGTGAAAGGGAGCGATGTTCTATTTGCTTGAAAACTAAAACATAATCGGTACGTGTGCAGATAGCGACCGACATTAAAGCAATGTAAATACGTTATTCTGAGTCTCAACTTGTTTTATTCAGATGCTCTGGCTAGCATAAGCTATGTGTGCGCCAGGCCCCGTCAGCCTTTTTCTTCGTTTTGCTAAAATACCCGGGCAATTGGCGGGCCCTCGTGTCTCTCAGCAGTATGGACACACAATCCATAAAATCAAATGTTTTATGTAGTTTTCTTTCTTTAGTGCAGCTCTGCGTTAGGAAGGAGTAACCGAAGACACTTCCCGGGCGCCAGTCAAACACCACGACGCGACTAAACGCTTCCAGCGTCTGAAACATGCGGCCACGGGCAGTTTTTACATTTAGTATTTTCCTGTCAAAATACGGATCCGTTTCTGGTTAAATTTTTAGTCACAGATTGCAGAAACGAATAATGAAGCAACTTCCCTCATCTTGGCCAAATTACAACCTAAGAACCTCAAAGACACTCCTTGCCCGTTACTGATTGTATTGGAGAAACACAGCGATGGTCTTTCAGCACAGGAACACTGGTATAGCAATTTTCCGGCTTTAATAGTAAAAAATACTGTCCCAGCTCCATATACTCTAAAGCCGAATCCTACACTTTCTGCTAGCTAAAAATGCCCAATGATAGAAATGAAAATTGGATGTGTGTATGTATTAATTGCCATTACGAAATGTCACACAACCTTGCTTAACTAAATCTTACTCTTGGTCAGCATGAAACTGAATAAAACTACATAGACTGCACTGCCAGAATTCTGCATTAGAATAATTCATAGCCATATTGCAAAGTATTGGCAATTGTTAACCAATTTCAGTAATGAAACTATGGACTGGAGACACAAATCACTTTATTCGTTTAATCAAAGAGAATCTACATTGGTCATGTCTGAAGTTACATAGAAATTTCAGATTTAAAAAGTGGGCCAAGGATGATTAAACATAGTACCATATGTAGGACTAAAAAGCAAAATCTTCTGTAAGAAAAAGAAAAAACAAAAAGATACAATAAATTGCATATCAGCAATTTCAGATGACTACACACGGCTAGTGGGTAAAAGGTTCAGTAGGGTCCTGCCATTACATACATCATTAGTGAAATGTGTTCTTGCAATTGTATCATAAAATCCACGTACTATCCTGTAGTATCAAAATCTGTCACTTTAGCAAGTATTGACTTCATCCAGGAAAAAAAAGACATTTCCCCCACTGCTTGTCATTATTTGGCTACAGTTTTAGGTTGTGAAATAAGTGTTTTTTTATTCACCTAAAATCAATACAGAGTCCATGTATGGAATCCGTAACTATGGCGAAAGCTAAATTGGTTTAACTGAAATTCAAATGAATCATAATGGAAACTGTTGCCTCAAACCATTAACAGCAGGAAAGACTGCTACACATACTGGGCCAAAAAGTTAAAAAATAAAATAAAAATCAAGCTAGCAGAAGGCCCAAGTGAGGAATGTTACCAAAATAAATAAATAAAAAAATTACACTACTTGTAGAACTTTCACAAAATGCCCCTGATTGCCCTACATGGCAAAGACAAAGGTAGGGACACCATTGCTTGGAAAACTGTGGACAAGTGATTGTTTTCTCGCAAATACAGCAGATGGAAAAGCAGGATGAGAGCGACACCCTCTCCACACCCCTCAATGAAAGGCCGCTGGTCAGAGGCCTCAGAGAAAAGCTTGTCCTTTCTACTTGCACACAGCCGCTAGCACCACTTAGACAAAAATAAAAATGAAACAAAAATTAATCCATGCACTAAACCAAAACAGTCCTTAGATTACAAGCAGACATGCTCCTGAATTTAAGCCATGCATTGTGTGCTTGGGTTGCGGAAATGAATGCATGGACTTGGTTTGCAAAGACCGTAGATGGAAGTAGTTTGCAGTATTCACTGTTCTTGCATGGCAGTTGCATTTTCCATATTCATATTCCACTCAATGGTATACATGCACTTTCCTAACTCTGGACAATATGACACACAAACACATTCAAATTGAACGTCTGAAGGTATTCAGTTTGTTGGAATGACTTACAAGGCCAATGCAAGGAAAAGGCCATGACCATCACTTATTCCTCTCTGCTCTGGAAATCAGGCAATATTTCATACATGCCGAGAGAGAATCTCTCTGCCAGATCTAGATTGTCAGCAGAGTACAAGACATGTACTTTAAAGGACCTGCAAAGTTGCGTTTTCACAGTGCTAAAAGACGTCAACTTTTACCTTCAGCAACTAATAAACACGTCATATGAAGTGCTGAAAAGAAAATAAAGCAGGCTTTTACATTAAAAACGCATAACAAATCCAACATAGCTACCTAACCAACAGTATGCCATCCATGACATTTAAATTCTCTTTTCTTGTGCTGTTTAGCCATTGTGCTGGTGCAGAGCGGCCTAGCATCAGGCACCTGTGTCTTGCTTCAGACGCTGACTGCGGGCCTTGTACACCTCGATGAGAAGGTCCTTCACGTACTGGATCTCCCGTTCCACAGATTCCGCCTTGTCCCGCAGCTCCCGATTCAGGACCTCCAGCCCATGTAACTCCTCCTCCAGGGAGTCCAGCTCTGCCCTCTTGCGCTGCCGATACCTGCGGGAGGTCGTGGTTTTATTGCGGTTTTTACAATTACAGCCTTTGCCATCCAGTGACTTTCATAGCTTAGGATATGTCACACTTAAGTGAATGAGGCAATTAAGCCCAGTGTTTAACATCCCCGGCCCCAGAGACCCACCGTATATTTGCTTCTGTTGAGTGTTGACTGAGCCGTTGCCTGTTGACTGAGCCATTAGCTGATTGACACTGAATAACTAAACTGAACGAGGTCACAGGACCGGCTATGTTTTTCGTATCCATTCATAAATGTTAAAATTTATTTGGATGTTCAACACAAAAGTATTAGCCAAGGAAAACAATGACCCCCAAAATTAATGTTTATTTAACTAACAACTATTGCATATTTTGAAGACAAGAACAACTGCATCTAATTCATAAAATCCAATTAGATCATCATAGTAATTTAGCTATTTGAATGAGATTCTTTCGATTACTCTCATAATTACCAAAGCATGAAGCCAACTCTCAACCAATTTAAATGGTGCGATTCCCTGATCTACAGTTAAGAGTTATTAAACCCAGAGAGACAAAAAGGCACATTACATCGGGCCTTCAGGACCAGTTTGACGTCCCCAAGTACCACAGCAGAGCCCTGGCCCGTCTTCAGGCTTATGCATTTCAGTGCACATCACACACATGCATATTCTCACCTATGAGCTGCTGTTTTGTTCTGATCTCGCTTCTTCTGCTTACGCTCTCCCTGATTGGGGTTCGCAGGCGCGGCTTCGATCTCCAGCTTGATGGTGCAGGGCTCCACCTTCAGCTCTGGAGCTGACCTGTGACTAGCCTGCCCTGGCAAAAGCCCCTTCCCATCTCCCTTGGGCAAGCATTCTGGACTGGAGTCTCTAAGCAAATCAGAGAAGCCACTAGGGCGGCACCCTGTCTCCGTTGCCCCTGATCTCATCTGCCCTCCTGTCAGACCCATGAACCCATGATAAGGTTCCACAGAGCTGCTGGACTGAAGAAAACTCTGGGTCACCTCCACCCCTCTACTGAGAACCTCTGCACCACCACTACACCTGTCTCCCTGTGAAGTCTCCAACTCTGCACCACCCTCACTACCAGTAACCTCTCTCAATCCATGGCCCAGCTGGTCTTCCCTCTTGCAAGGTGTGTCCATTATTGCACCAAGACAATACCCGCCAGCCATCTTCTCTTCACCACCAACATCACCTGGGAAGTAGTAACAATCCTCCTCTTTCAACTGTACAGAACACTCGCCAATCTTTACTCTGTTTCCAACACAACATCCTTTTCCAACCCCCTTTTCAGCCTCCACACCTAAGTAGTTAACACCTTCCTCTGGGCTACCTGAGTGATTTTCTTTGGAATTCCAGATATTATTTTCCAATCCATCGGCCACCCTCACCCCATCCAAAACTCTCCTACGATTATTGCTGTTAGGACGAGTGCAATTGTAAGGGGCAGGTCTAGGTGTCTTGCATCGGCCAATAGGGCCTCCGCAAAAGCTCAGCAGGTCGAGTTCCCCAGTTGCCAGGGTAACAAGAAGTGGAGTAGATTCTGATTGGCTAGAGCTGTATGAAGCATAGGGCAATGGGTAGTACGACTGGGTACCACTTTCTGGGGTTACATGGTCACATTTCTCTACTTTCTCCACTTTCTTTGGGGTCGCATCAGACAGGAAGTAATCCTCTAGTTGAGCAAGCTCTTCTTGCAATAAGGAGGTCATCACCTCCAAATCAGAGGGCACCTGGACGTCATGCTGAGGTGGCGAGGGGGGAAGGGACTCCCTGGGAGAGGAGTGAGAGGTAGGGAGGTAAGAGGAGAAATCAACTTTTTCCGTCATCCAGTCAGTGAGAACATCACCTATATGTGGGAAGGGGAGAAATAACAAAAAAAAAAATATATACACAATATGTAAAAAAATATATACACTGGCAAAAAGAAATGACAGTCATCAATAATGATCAAGCAATAATCAAATCGATAACATTTGACAAGGGCGTGTCCCTGTCCTTTCCCACAAACACAACCTGTATTCCATGCTAGCACCTAAACCAAAAGCTATAGCTACCATCACGTACCAAACGCTTAACTCAGTTTCTAAGGGCAACGTTACAGTAACAAGTCAGAATTACTACGGCAACTTGCGAAAGGTCTTTATATACTACATGCATTGCCAAAATATTTATTTTTACGTTACTCACTGTGCAAGGAGAACGAACGTGCTGCAGTGCGGCTACCACCCTGAACGGGGGAAAATAGAAAAGCGTATAACGGCAACTTACCAATTAAGTGCTCGGTATCTTCTAACTCCTCCCCCCTCCTCTGCTGTGATTGGCTGCGGCTAGCCAGTAGGGGAGAGAGAGTGAGGGGGTCTACCGGGCAGTTGAGGGGAGTCTTCCAGAGAGGTACCAATGCCGCCATCATTTCCTCTGGTTTGATTTAGAAGATGTAACGTTGGCAATACGTAAAGATGCACGAGATGAGCCACAAAGGACAGAGTTGAGGGAGTGTTGTAAGACCTACAGGGAATTGGACAAAAAATTAAGATCTTGCTAAAAACCAATTCTCCTGGTTAGTCCTTTGCCAAAGACACCAACCATGTGCACAACATCCCTACCCAGTATAGTAACAAACCTCTCCCATCTCAGAATCTCAGCACAGAACTACTAATCAACAACAGATGCATGGATTCAGCTTGGGAAAAGAACATTTCTGTTCTGGAAATTTATTTATAAGAATTATATATATATATATATATATATATATATATATATATATATATATATATATATATATATATATATATATATATATAAGAATTTACTTCTTCATGGATGCTAACATAAGCAGGTATTTAATTTGCACGTCTCGAAAAGCATTTTATTCACACAAACCTGAAGCTGTTACAGTAAATCATACTGAAATCATACTTCTGCAAAATTACAAGTTCATTTGATCACACTGCCAGATTTCAGTTGGAATTATCACCTGACACTAAACATTGCCTTCATTTCATCGGTGCAGTAGCAGAATTAAATTATTTTGAGAAAGTCAAAGCATGAACTTGCTTTAAACCATACAAACCTTCACTTTTAAAACAACCACAAAATTAGTGTTACATTTGAAGGGAAATAACGTTAAAAATCAGAAGAGAAAGAAACACCATCAAGAAATCTTACATAGTGATGACTAATACAAAAAATATACATATCAGTGCCACTTTCACTGCTAAGAGTTTTACCCGCAATCACAAAGAAACCTGTAAATAGCCCCAATTAACCCTTTACTGCCTAGACAGTAAATGAATTCTCAAAAAAAGTTTCTTGGAAAATTAACGCGCAAGTTATAATTCGGTACAATCAAAGCATTCTCTGGCATTACTAAACTACGTATCAATGATAAAAAATAATATTAAATTCTATGTTATTACAATTTAACATCATGCAAAACGTCCGTTTGAAAAAAACTCAAGTACCAAGTAACAAGGTAGAACATACCATGCAATTCAGCAAGTTCATAAGTGCCATGTCGTTTTACCGGCAGAAGAAATTGTCGTCTATGGTTTAACACTTCATCTACTGTACTAGAGCAGCTCACATGCATGACATTGGCGCTCGCACCACTTGGCAAACTTATTCAAGCATTTCTCACGTTTATACCTACATGCATGCGTTTAAGCGGAAACCTTTGTCTAAAACGACTGCCATACAGCACAAAATCGGGTACAGCAACCACAGTACACATACGAAGCCATTGTTATGATGATTAACACAGCGACGAACAATTCATTAATTTACCCCGTTACATGCAGGCTTAACTAGAGCAGAGCCCAGGTGACAGAATTAGGATGAAGACAACGCGCAGTGACCGGGACTGTCTCCCCTTGGCGGTGTTAACAGGTACAACAAAGCCAGCTACAATGACATATTTAACACCACTAATAAAAAAACACTGCCACTCAACTCAAATACCCGAAAACACACGCTACAGACAATGACTAAAAGTTAGGTGATTAGCAGCCCATCAGAACCGCATCATTGGAGTAAACTTTCACATCGTGCAATAGTACAGTTAATCTAACAGCCACGACAAACAACAACACATAAAACGTATTAATTATTATCAATCTGCAAAGAGCAGGTTCAATTACTTAAAATTGAACAGAAAGCAGATCATGCACAGTTAGGTTCAGCTGCAGTACCTCAAGAGTTATCCGGTGGTAAAATCAGACAACACCGAATTATTCATAGTTTATTAACCCCGAAGTGGTGTCAGAAGTGCCGCCAGCCGCAACCACCACCATCCAAACTAGGTAGCCTACCCAACAAGTTACAGAGTAAGACCAGGCGAAAAATAAACTCTAGAAAGTGTGTGAGAAGTGTCAGTTAAACTTACTCCATTTTGGCGTCTGGGTTTTGCTAATAAATCGCGGGGCTTCGCCAAGGCAAAGTCCGTTATTGAAAAGAGTGCAGGACACTCGTCCGGTTTAAAGAGCCATGTCGCGTCCACGGGCCGCCTGAGTCGGATGTACTCCTCCGCCGTTACGCACGGTGCTCTAATGCCGAGACGTGGGCTGTCAGCTCCGTTTTAAAACTGCGCCCGGACTCACAGCCAAAGTCCTGCCGTGACCCGTTCACACGTAATTGAGATCACTCCGCCTAGCTCCCCTACCAGACAGCTTCGTCCAACGGACTACATACGTCAGATTAGGAAGATGGGTGCTGAAATTGTGTTAACAAATCACTGAATTGCCTGCAAATTCAAATTTGTTTTACCATAAATTATGTTAAAAGTGCTCAAGTGCTAATACTTTGCATGGACATTTTAAGTATTTTAACATAGAATGTACATGATATAAGAGATGCGGCAACTTTAGTGTAAGACTTTGTTGCAAGTAAGCATATGAGTCGTTTATCTGACCGGGATGGGGCCGTTTTTGATATCCGACGTTCATAAACAAAGCAAAACACTCTGGATTTTTATTGTTTACAAAGGACTATTTAATCATTACTAGAGAGGAAGGACACAGTTACTAATATGTGTTGTGTAAAAGCCATATTGCAACCTTGTTGCATCAGCTCTGCAGAATGGACAGCAGATTCGTTAGACGTGGGAAGTAAGTCGCATTTCATTGGCTGAAAAGAATTTATCTTATTGGTTGGCTTGCAGTGAAACTTACGCCCCGTTTTAACCACATGCTCGATGTAAATATCCCGAGAAAGGAAAAGGCATGTGAAATACATGTTTCAAACAATAGTATATGTAACCAAATAAGCGAATTGAAGTAAATTTTACGATACTGTCCAATGAATCATTGCTTCGATTTATTTAGCGAAAATTTTAATAATAATTTAATTAGTTATTAAAATACAAATCTGCTCTGTTTCTTGAAAAAGAACATGGCACCCCCCATAACTGTTCTAAGATATTTTATGACGTCCAAATAAGGGAAATTAGTATTTTGTGAAGATCTGTGGCTGAAGATGAAACATGCCATTCGAAAAATAGTGACAAGAAGGAAGTGTATTCATATTATAAAACGTCCTTTCACATTATTGACATCATCGATTGCGTATTATGCTTAGTTATGATTTAACAAGCATTAAAGCGCTTCTAAATTATAAACAAGGATTTTCAAGTAGGAACTTAGGAATCCTCTTATTACCACGGTAACACCTCTGCCTGTCTGGAGTTGCTATGCAAAGAGTCTTGCATTTTTTTGGCTGCAAAACCAAAACCTGATTGAAGCAGCTACGTCTTCCTGTTGCTATAGTAATAGCGAACACTGCCCCCTATTTTAGACATGTTTTCCGGTTGCTGTTGCCATGGGTTTGCAAAGCCTTTGGGTACCACCGTTTCTCTCTCTCTTCAGATTTGACGTTTCTTCAGTGATCACAATAAATGTAAGAATAAATGCTTGAAAATATAGCCTACATACAGTCACTTTCTTGTGACTGGCGAAAGTCGTCCTAAATTGTGCTTATTATGATTACTTTTTTTGCATATGTAGTAACTGTACTCACCTCTGACAGTAGCAAAGTTGAACCGAGCTGCAACAATATAATTAATGCTTCTAAAACAAGAGTACACAATTTCACCCAGCACGTTATGTTTTTGATTTGAGTGGTACGATTCGAAGAAGTTTATAAATACGCATCGTACTTATGAAAATGTGTGTGTGTTTGGGGGGGAGGGGGGTGCAACGTATTGCAAGAACTGTAAATGGGATTTTCAGTCGGAAATTGGGGTAAGAAACTTCAGTGAAAGTGAAATACTCGCAGCTGACGCAATCTTGCGGACACAGAGGTGGAGATGCTGATAGTCCGACTACCTCCGGGGAGAGAGCAGACGTCTCAGACCGCTTTAATTGGTCAGATGGGATTTGTTTGACAATCTTTAAAGTAATTTCGTAGAATCAACACATGATGCTTCGTTTCATAATTTTATGTATTACTTAAGAGTACCTAAGTTTTATGTGTAAAACACCAGCAGCGTGGTTAAAACATGCGCTTAAAAGTTGTTTGTTTATGGATACTAAATGTAGAGAATGGTAGATACGCTTAGCGTGTACGCTACAGACAGTTATAGTCATTGGTTCGGGTGTATGTGTACACATCGAAATAGGTGAAATAAATGTTTATGCAGAATACATGACATGTTAGCAGCATTGCATCAGGGTGTCATCATTAGCTCGGGGGAGGGGGGAGCTAATATCTCTATACGTGTTGGAAGAAGCAGGAGCCGTTAACAGAGGCGCATCCCAAATGAAAAGCACGCGCCTCCACGCGGCACGCGCATTTTAATGCACGACAAGTCAGAGCATAAATTAAGTGCATAAATAAGTCCACGTATAAAAAATAGCGCGTGGTAGGTACTTCATCAGTAATTAAGATGGATGTATTTTGGACTGTGTTTGGTGCTTAAAAAACTGTAACGACTCCGTTATGAATGAAGGTGGAGAACGATCGAGCGATTGCCCCCCACTATTCTACCATATATTGCATACAAACATTGCATGAAAATTGATGGTTATCATACCAAGTATATTGCTAAATCTAAACAATAAGAAAATGTGAAACTTTGATAAACTCTCAATGATGAACATTCCTTGATAGGATCACATCACAGGAATGAACCCAATTCCAGCCGTGTGGTAATGGAGTAAAGTTAGCATTGGGTTCAATATACGCCAGTCATTTACTCTTTTGAAACATTACAAAAGCAAGCAAACCCCACATTCAAAAATATGTGTTTGTGAAATTACATAGACACCTTGGATACTCAACTACTAAAGCCAATAAATTGTGAAAACAGCAAATAATCCAGCCCCTGTTGCACATTAACTCACTCACTGGACTTTTGAGTCTGTGACATTTCAAAATAAAATCTCCAAATGGAATAACAAAGAATTTCCTAATAAATGGTTATTCATGATGACATACAAATTTGTGAGTGTGGGGTTTGCTTGTTTATATAATGCTTTCTTAGGACAGCCAATGCCTGACGAACAAAACAAAAGGTTGCTTAAATTAGCTACTGTTACTGTATTGGTAATATCATGTAAAGGTAAACACTCCCTGAGAGGAAACGTCAAGTGTTGGTGAAGGAAGCAACAGCGTAGCAGCCATAATGTCATTTTAAAAAAAGGAGATTTCATGGACAAACAAGGTAAAAAGGCGTTTGTGGTGTTGGCAGTACTCTTTACAGTTTAAGTGGTTCTCTTTACTGGTTGGGGTCCAATCTTTAAGAAAAGAGACCGGAGGGTGTGTTCTAACTTTGTGTGGATCATCTATTTGTTTGGGCATCTATCTAGGTGACCTTCTGGACACCTCCCTGGGGAGGTGTTTCGGGCATGGCCAACTTGGAGGAGTCCCCGAGGCAGACCCAGGACATACTGGAGAGATTAAATCTCTTGGTTGTCCTGGGAACACCTTGGTCTTCCCCTGTGAAGCAGGAGGAGGTGGCTGGGGAGAAAGAGGTCTGGGCATCCCTGCTTAGACTGCTGCCTATGTGACCTGACCCTGGATAAGTAGTGGGTAATGGATGGATGGATGGAATTAATAAAACACACCTGTTTTAAAGCATTTGAAAAACGTATTTTATTGATGGAAATGCTTCTTGAAATGTTTTTTTTTTTCGGATCCCACTGATTTGGAATGATTACAATATAGCTGGAACAAATGCAAACTTCATATTTTGGTTCAGAGTGTGAAGTACACCAAAATACCATGTTGCTGGATTGCAGTCAGATCAGGTTAGATTGGAAAACATGCACTGGTACAGCTCATTGCCGTACCCACCACATGACAAAACACCTCGGGATCCCAGTTGACGACCCCCCAGGCCGATACAGGAAGTCCCACCCTCCTGAAATGGCCCTCTATCTGCTGCAGCCAGGTGTTATGTGGGCGTCCCCTTGGCCTGGTCTAGCTGCTCAGGTCCACAGCTATGAGGATCCTGCAAGCCGGATCTTTCTCAGGGAAACGCGCCACATGGCCATAGTGCTGTAACTGATGCCCCCTCAAAATGCAGGTAATGTGCCTCGTTTGGGACTCTCTGAGCAACTGCTCACAAAATCACACAAAATCAAACCAGCAGTACTCAAGGATTCTCTGAAGAGACACAGTACCGAAGGAGTCCAGTCTTCGTCTCAAGTCACTGGACAGCTTCCATGTCTCACAGCCATACAGCAAGACAGGGAGCACCAGAGCTCTAAGGACTTGGACCTTCGTCCTCTTGCAAAGATATCAGGAGCTCCACACACCCCTTTCCAGTGACCTCATGACCCCCCCCCCCCCTTGCTCTTCCAATCTGTCTACTGACTTCATATGAAGACTCACCTCTCGATGCGGTTGACATTCTCTCTGCAGACAGACACATTGCTGATGGCTGTGCCCAAGAGGTCATTAAAGGCCTGGATCTTGGTTTTTATCTAGGACACTTGCAAGTCTAGACACTCAGGCTCCTTGCTCAGTCTCTCAAGAGCCTTGATCAGGGCTGCCATTGACTCGGCAAAGGTCACAGCATCATCTGCAAAGTCAAGATCAATAAATATTTCTTCACCAATAGATGCCCCACAGCCACTGGACCCCATGACCCTGCCAAACACCCAGTCCATGTAAGCACTGAACAGAGTAAGAGCAAGAACACACCCATAACGAACCATAGAATCATGTGAAAGAACTGCACAGCACTCACAGTACCAGTGTACAGGCCAGGCATGATGTCCAGCAACTTCGGGAAGATCCCACAAAGTTTCAAGATGTCCCACAAGGCAGCTTGATCAACTGATTTGAAAATCATCAAAGACTGCAAAGAAACTGAGATTCTTGTTTGCGATTAATAAGAACCCTCAGTTCCAGGATGCTGACGATTATAGGTCCAGGTGATCACCCTTCCCTTTCCAGATATGGACCACAAGTCCCATTTTCCAGTCAGTTGGGATGACATCTCTCTCCCAAATGGAAGCAAAGATTGCCTGAAATGCCAGGAGGACAGCCTTACCACCAGCCTGGAGAAGTTCACCACTGATCCCTGCAGCCTTCCCTCAGTTGGTTTACCACTCATGCAATCTCAGTGAGATTGGGTGGTTCACAGTTAATCAGCCTCAAGAACTGTGGATCCAGAGACATCCAAAGTCCAACCAGAGGATCAGCTTTAAATAGCTGTTCAAAGGAGCCAGCCCAGGAGGTCACAACTGCAGTGTCATTCGTAAGGACAAACTGGGCACTTCTGCTCCTTGAGCAAGGCCCTTAACCCCCAGCTCCCTGGGCCCTGTTACAGGTGGCTGCCCTTTGCAGACAACTTACTCCAAAAAGAGCAAGTTAAGGAAGGTGTAAAGACAATTAATAAAGTATTGATTATTATAATAACATACTGACCAATGTTTATACTTTACCAATCAGGCCCATAGATCGGAATAAAATTATGCTGACATCCCACCTTCAGCATACTGATTTCAGGGAGGTGGATGGGGGGGGGGAGAGTTCTGGCAGTGAAATTTTCGCGGGTATACAGGCGACGGTTATTGCCTTATGTAAAGAGGTTGGTATCACCACCGACGCCAGGGGATGCTGTGGCGACTGTAAAAGTTGTAGATGCCCCTGCATAAATTCATTTTAACATCTCTGAACAGGTTTCACTGCACATTATTTGCGGGTGCCAAGAATCCAGCGCGGGGGGGCGGGGTAACCTGGATTAAAATCTTGTTGACGCTCCTGCGAAAGAACACCAACGAGCTACTTGTTATGCAACCCATCGCATTTACTGGTAGGGTATCCTGCACAAATAAATGACGTAACGATTCCCGTTAAGTGCAAGGGGCATGTACTGTAAATATATTCTCCTGTATCGCGTTTGGATAGGGAAACGTTTCACGAACTTGAGCTCGGACACAGCCATGTTCCAGCTGCTGCTTCTTCCCTTCCTGCTGCAGGCTGCAGGCACGGGCGGCGCAGACGTATTGTGAGTAACCTTATTAAACGAATTTCTTTTTTTGTGTGATTCTGAGAAACCTAGTACTGTTTTCCTAAAGTGACTCGTAAGTGGTCCGTGTGTCAAGCAGACATTTATGGATTGGCAACGGCACAGTAGATTTTAGAAAATAATTATACCGTCTTTCCTTGTTTAAAATTAGAAATTTTATATGCAGCCCAATAAGAACTCAAAAGTTACGTAAAATAACATGCTAAAGTATTTTGATCTAATTTCTACAGAAATCACACTTTTTTGCGGTGTCTTAAATATTGACCTGTACTAATTGATTGTTTAAGTATATGCATATACGCCTGTTATATAAAATGTGAGTACTTTAACATTAAGGTGAAGTTTTAGTTACAGTAGACTGCAGATTGCTTCTAATTTCCCTCAGTCCGTTAAATACAGGTGTTAAATAGAATGGTCCCGTAATCAGGACGCGATATGTACCGTGTTTTATCCGGACCGAAATACAATTTAATACCCTCGATAGCCCCCCTCCCACCTCCCTGACGACAAAAACAACCGAGAGTTCCTTCACCTCTTCATGTTGAAAATGCCAACCCTAAAACGTCTTCTGAAAAAGATCAATCTCCCTAAATGTCGCCCTAAATGGTGCTTCTCGTGTGATGTATGTTAAGGCTGTTGCTTGCCTCTCTCCTGCACTGCAGCAGCTGCCTGAGCTCGTCCACACTGACCTGTCCATTCATGCCTCTGAAGCCTTTAGGAATCGCTGCCTGGGGCTGCAGGCCAGGCTGTGGTTCCGCTTCGGGTCTGAGCTCCGGCTCCGTGTGCGGAGTTTGCATGGGTTCACAGCCCTGCATATGACAGGCGGGGCTGGAAAGCAGATGCCTTCCTGGCATGACTCAGTCTGTCTAAGTGGGACTTTCTTTTGCCACAATTAATTGATTTTCCCATTAGGGATTACCTGGTGACTGTCACCTCGCAAACCGTGAGCGGAAGCACAGAGACAGTATGCGTCCACCTGGAGTCTCAGATGCCTGTGACGTTCAACATCTCACTGCTGATGGAGGGTGACGACACTGTCGTCTTAATGGAGGAGGTGGCAGCTCACCCTGTCTTCCGCTGCGTGCCTTTCCAGGTTCGGCTTTCTTTACAGTCATGTGTGCAAGAACAAATCATTAAAACTATGTCAAAAATTGGATTTAGGGGTATATTGTGTGTTCAATTTGTCCAAGTAAAAGTGTTAATAATTTAGTAGAAAAACTATTGTTCCCTACAGTTTGTGATTAAAATCACATATTGAGCCATTTTCAATGACAGCTCAAAGTGAATTAGTGAAGTTTTACTTCACTTGATACAAACAGTTCTCACAGAAAGTCCTGGGATGCTTGCTTAATTCAGTAACAATACTGCATATGTATTGGATTATAACAAAAATCATTATTTAAAAAAAAAAATAAAAAAATAAAAAAATTAAAAAAAATATATATATATATACATTACATTAGAAACAACCAGTAGTTTTAAGTAAAACATTCTTTTCGTGTAGTAATAAATTAAAACCGAAATTCTAGCACTAAAAGAGGCTGTTCTGAGTTAAAAAGTTCACTGGCAAGCAGCCTCACTGGGTGCTTTTTGATTAGTAACACCTTTGCAATAGACGTTGCAACATCTAACTGAGTGTCTTTGGGCTGTGTGAGGAAACCAAAAGTCCTGGAGGGACCCAACTGTTCCTTTTTTCAACCGTCACTTCAGTGCATAACCAACCGGAGCATACCAAATCATAGTATACCAAAACAGCATTATGTGATGTGCCCTGCTACAGTGCATATCGCACTGAAGTATACCAAATCATAGTATACCAAAACAGCATTATGTGATGTGCCCTGCTACAGTCCATATCGCACTGAAGTATACCAAACCATTGTATACCAAGACAGGATTGTGTGGTGTGCCCCGCTACAGTNCATATCGCACTGAAGTATACCAAACCATTGTATACCAAGACAGGATTGTGTGGTGTGCCCCGCTACAGTGCATATCGCACTGAAGTATACCAAATCATAGTATTCCAAAACAGTATTATGCCATGTGCCGCGCTACAGTGCATACTGCACTGAAGTATACCGAACCATTGTATACCAAAACAGTATTATGTGATGTGCCCCGCTACAGTGCATATCGCACTGAAGTATACCAAATCATAGTATACCAAAACAGTATTATGCCATGTGCCCCGCTACAGTGCATATCGCACTGAAGTATAACAAACCATTGTATACCAAGACAGTATTATGTGATGTGCCCCGCAGCCCCGCTACAGTGCATATGCTCCACTAGTGCTGAACAGTGAGCTACCCTAGCCCCCAAACAGCCTGAGGATTTACAATATTACTGCAATTACTGCTTAATAAAAAATGAATAGTAAAAGAGACCTTATATGTTGTCTAATAATCCATGTTAGGTAAATTTCAACAGCCCAGGATGTCCAATATGATCATGGTTGTGCCGCTCACCTGTGCTCCCCATGTTCTTCTCGTTCCCCTGTTCAGGTTCCTGCTGTGTCCTCTCCCAGAGTAGCCACCTTACGTGCCACTTTCAAGGGACCCACTGAGATTGTAACAGAAAATACCAAGATCTTTATCATTCCGTCTGGCAGCCTCCCCATCATGCAGACTGACAAACCAATCTATAAGCCTGGACAGGAAGGTCCTGTTTGCTTTTCAGTTAATTCTTCATGGCTTTCTGTAGTAGAAAATAAACTTTATGTAAAACAAGTTTTAGGTGATTTTATATTTCTGTACACATGAATCTATTTATCCTATGAAGTTTACACTGTGTTTCTTCTATATCTGACTTTTCTTTTGTCTTCTATGTATGGAACCGCCCATCCTTGCTTTAAAGATTTCAGTCCATAACAATTACATCTGTTCTGTTTTCCATAGTCATGTTCCGAATTGCAACAGTGGATTTCAGTTTTTTGCCCCTGAACCAGAAGGTGAGCTGTTATATACTGATGTAGATTAACACCAAATAGCTGTAGGATTTTTTAAAAACTGGCCAATAGGAGCTGGTGGTTGGAAGTTATTTTGTTCATAATTACCGGGAAAGTGCCAAAAAGCCGGTCTGACCCTCTGACTGTGGTATTTCACCTTGCTTGTTAACATTGTACTATGATTCAATAATGATTTTCACTGTTTTTTTTTTAACAGTACCAAACTGTGGAGTTGAAGGTAGGGATTTTTTTCTAATATATTTTACTTTCTCTAAAATTATCCATAATGAACCAGACCAGAGGCGCAACGCTCACTTTGGGAGGATGGAGTTTATTTCCACATAATGTTCTCTGGTGCAGGAGATGTTGTTATGCTTCTCAACCTTCATCTCCTAACTTATGTGTGATACCAGCCTTTTTACAGAGTCTAAGACAATAAACTGGAAAAAGCTTATAGGTTAAACTTCATAATTGTAGGTCAGATTTTCATAAGTGAGGAAACTATACTACATTCCCAAAAGAATGGAGCATGAGCAAGTCATTTTGCTCAGTATCAGTGATATTAGATAAAAATATACTGGTATATAATAAGTCAGTATATCAGTTCCAGGTTCCTGAAAAAAAGTTCCTGCAGTGGGAAAGGGCATTTTGATCAGAGCCAGTCAGGAACCAGAAGATAGGAGGTCAGGAACCAGAAGATGATGGGTGGCTTGATTTCTGGAGCAGTCTACTTTGTGGCAACCTGATTACTCAGTCTATGTTTGCTCCAGTAATGGGCAGCATGTGGCTCAGTGGGCTGAGCCTCTGTGCCCATAACCAGAAAGTTGCCAGTTTGAGCCCAGCCTTAGCAGAATAGTCACATGTCTGGCAGCCCTTGAGCAAGGCCCTTAACCCCCAGCTCCATGGGTGCTGCTGCAGGTGACTGCTCTTCACTGCCAGGCTGGGTCTTGCCTATGTACCTGCCTGTGTGCCACGGAGAGCAAGTTGGGATAGGTAGAAAGGGAATTTCCCCACTGTGATCAATAAAGTGTCATTATGGTTTGCATAACACCTTCCATTTTGGTCACGGTAGGGGTGAGGATGGGGCAGTTTACTAATTACCATGACTATGTTGCCAAATTGCCTCTAGGTATGAATGTGTGTGTGTGTGTGTGTGTGTGTGTGTGTGTGTGTGTGTGGTAAAATGCTATTTACCTGATGGATAATCTCACTATAGCAATCTATCTCTAGCCAGTTGAACACTTATGGGAAATTCCGGAGGACTAATATTGTGTTTAATTTTCCACCAGTGAACATCAAATGGTGTAAGAGTGATCTCTCCAGTAGCTTCAGATGCTGTTAGATGCCCTGTCATGGTGCAGTGGAGCTGCTCTCATGAGTCATGGTTGCCTAGTGAAAATTCACCTTGTAACAATTCACCTATTGGCAATTCACCATGTTTCCTTCATTTAAGTGCTGATCTGTCCATATAGCTATTTATATATTCAAAGCTAAAAGGTCCTTAAAATTGTAATTTCTGTCTTCCTCCGTCTGCATTGTGGTGTATTTGCAGGATCCCAACCACAATCGTATTGCTCAGTGGTTAAACCAGTCAGCTGCCAGCGGGATTCTGGACTTCTCCTATCGCCTGAGTGCTGAGTCGCCTCAGGGCAGTTATGTCTTCACCGTCTGGGACGAAGCAGGCAGACAAGCCTCCCAGTCCTTTGAAGTGCAAGAGTATGGTCAGGACACCTTCACACCTGCTAACCACGCCAATGACCTTCCCCATTCTTTTTTTATAACACTAAATTATCTATCGATCTGTCTGTCTGTATATATATTGTATATATAATTTGAGTATTATCTACTTGTATAACCCAATCTGTTTTTAAAAATTGCCTGTTTTTGTTCTTCAAACATTTGCTGCTGAAAATGGATGTTTCTGCCTCTCTCCTGAAAACAGGTCTTGTGTTTTTTATGTAGTTCTACCCAAGTATGAGGTAAAAGTGCATCTTCCTGCGTTTTTGCATGTTCAAGACACTAAGGCAGTGCTGAAAGTTTGTGGAAAGTAAGTCTCAGCAAATTGTTCTGCCCGAAGGTCATTGGAGTAGCTTAACATCATGTTATATTCTGTTGTAATGACATTGCATTGGTCTGTCTCTAATTTGAATTCTAATTCCTTAAAAGGGTAAATAAATCATGACGTACTTTTTTGTAGATACACCTATGGAAAGCCAGTCCTAGGATCAGTTAAGGCAAAAGTGTGTCTGAAGCTCAATCGATGCATGAATCGATGCATGACATACAACATGACAGTAAGAGGCCATATATGACCCAAGTGGCCCTGTACCATAAAACTTAAATGCTGTAAACTGCGTGGAAATGACAAGTCAAAGCCTTTCCATTCCTGCTGTCTCATTACTGCACTGACAGCTGCTTGTCTGATCTAGACTGACAGGGGGGGATGTGCCTCGCAAACGCTGGACATACCTGCATTGAGAAGAGGAGTACTTGGAAACACCCGGAATCTGTATGTCGAGAGTGAGTTAGAGGAGTCTGGGACAGGTGAGTGATGTTTTTATATAATATATAAACCCATTAAAAATAAGCATATATTTATTGTTAATCCATGCACATTTACACTTCCGGAAGCATTAAATCAGTTATTGCAAATCACACTCATTCCTCAGTAGACTTCATGGTTTTACTTTATAATTACAAGTGTCATAAAGTGTAATTATTTGAATGAATATATACTGTACAGCACAGACACTTGGGACAATGGAATCACATGCATAATACGACTCCACTGACTCAGGGTCCGCCTGCGAGTGAGCTGACATGAAGCCCACATAGTCAATACCTGCTGCTTTGGTTCTGCATGGTCATGATTAAGAACAAAGCAACTGCAGAACAGCTTCTGCTTAGTGTGGACAGGCCCTGCTGATTTTTGTTGGTGACTGGATTAGGAGTGATCCTGAAGGGGGAGGCCCACTCGGTGATATTCCGCAGCACTGACATGGAAAATGTGTTGTTTGAGGAGGCACCGCCCACTTTCAGACGAGGAATCCTGTATGAAGTCAAAGTAAGAGCCCTTGTGTCACGTCTGTCCCAGATTGTCTATCTGCACAAGTCATTAGATGGTACATGTGCTGCCTTTATCCTCCTACTTCTGTACAGGTCGTTACATGGTACATGTGCTGCCTTTAATCTCCTACTTCTGTACAGGTCGTTACATGGTACATGTGCTGCCTTTAATCTCCTACTTCTGTACAGGTCGTTACATGGTACATGTGCTACCTTTAATCTCCTACTTCTGTACAGGATGTTACATGGTACATGTGCTGCCTTTATGCTGCTGTAACATGACTTGGCTGGTGCAAATGCAACACGTCCAGTTTGAAACAATATTTATAACAGATCAACTAGGTCCGACTGCAGGAGGACAAAAAAACACTTGGGCACAACCATTCAACAAATTATTTATGACAACCTATTTATTTACATGCTGCTGTAAGCAGGAATAAATTAATTATAACTATATTACAGGTACCCAAAAAAAAAAACTAAGCATAAGAAACTAAATCGGATTTGATACAAAGAAAGGAATACCAAATTGGGTAAAATGTCCACGCTTTCCGCAATCAAAAGAAACAAGGTACTCCTCTCTCAATCAGTATGTTTTTTTCGTTTCCAAGGCCTTTTCTTCGAGTCTGCTACTTGGGTAGAAAATGTCCCAAAAGAAAAAAAACAAAAATCTAAGTATTAATATCAACAAATTCTCAAAAAGGCTTATCTGACTCCGTCGGGACCCTCTTCTGCGAAAGGACAAATCAATGATCATGTAGATGCATGAGGTTTTCTGGCTCGCCGTTCAGGTCAGATCTCATCAGAGTCGCACAAGGAAAAAAAAAACCAATCTGTACAAAGCAATTGCACTTATCAGTTATAGCAATTAAATCAACTACACTGCTCACACATTACATTGCCTTAATGCACAGGCTTATGTACAGAAACCACAAAATAAATTCACCCCATAATAACAAAATCAGAACAAATGATTGCATTTTTAAACACATGCCCATCTTCACTTCATCCTATGCAATTTGGCTTTCGTGCTAACCACTCAACTGAGACAGCAAACTGTTTTTTCACAGAAAAATTTAGATCTCTATTAGACAAAGGAGTTGTTGTTGGAGCCATTTTGTAGATTTAAAAACGGCATTTGACACCATTAATCATAGTGTTCTTGTGTATAAATTGTCTACTTTTAACTTCACAACACATGCAATTAACTGGTTTGGGTCCTATCTAGCAAATCGCTCACAGTTTGTTAGAGTTAAGAGTCATCAATCAAAACCCATTGGTATGCCTACTGGTGTTCCGCAGGGATCCAAACTGGGTCCACTTTTATTCACCCTGTATGTTAATGATCTGCCAACAGTTTGCCCTGATGTTAATATTCAAATGTATGCAGATTATACTGTGATTTTCATCCATGGTAGCAGTGCAGCACAAGTCGCAGATCAGTTAAAGTCAATGCAACATATTCCAACATGGTTAAAAAAAAAAACTGTCTACAACTGAATGTGTCTAAAACAGTATGCATGTTTTTTAGAAAGTCAAATAAACACTTTACTGAGAAAGATGTATATGTAGCTGGAGAAAGACTGCAGGTAGTGTCAGAATATAAATATCTTGGTGTTCTGATTGATAGTAATCTTTCATTTAAAACTCAAATTAAAAAGGTCTGTCAGCGAGTTAAATTCAATTTGGTAAACTTTAGATTCATATGAAACTGTATGTCAACAAAGGCTGCAATCATGTAAATGCATTCAATGATCTTCTCTCACATTACATATTGCTTAACAACTTGGTCTCAGGCCAGTAAAACTTCTCTTATGCTCATTATATAAACAAACACTCAAAGTTCTTCATAAAAAACCTAGACATCATCATCACTGTCTTATTTTAACTAAATATAAACTTCTGAGTTGGGAAAACCTTGTGAAATACACAAACTTATTATGTCTAACATATAAGATTATCAATGGACATGCTCCTTTGGTTTTACGACAATTCATAAAAACAGGTTCATCTACAAATATATCTACAAGACGTACAATTAGAGGTGACTGTATAATTCAGATGAGAAAAAGCAGTTTTGGCCAATCTGCGGTTTCCATTAGAGCTGCACCTGAGTGGAACATGATTCCATCCCACATCAGAGACATAAAAACATACCACACATTCAAACACAATTTTAAAAAATGTTTAATTAGCCTCCAAACATGTCAACACTAAATAACATCACACTACCCAGCACCTCCAGTTCGTTGTATCTGGGCGCTGCTTTATTTATATCACTACTGCCATCAGCCATGTTCTGTCTTTCGCTTTTTTATGTATTTATTATTATTATTCTTTTCTCCCTAAATTTACTGACCCTTCTCTTTTTGTATGTTTTATGTGTCTTTTTATTTCCTTTTTTTATTATGATCTATGTATATTTTATGTCTTGTTTCTTTTATTATGTATTTGACCTGTTACATCGGTCCGTGGACAACAGATGTAAAATAGCCATTTTGGCTAATTCTGGAACGTTTACATTTTATGTTTATTAATGTACACTGTCCATGTCAAATAAACCATAAATAAATAAATATTACAGGATTTCAGCGGGAACAGAATTGACATACAAATTTTCCCGCGCTAACATCATTAATCCTTACTACAGTCACAAAAGTCTCTGTAAAACAACAACAAAAAAAATAAACTAGTCTCTCATTTAATTCGCATCGTCACATAAAATACACATACTACACTCCGACTGGTTTTAATGTTCTGCTTGCTAATTCTTAGCATGATAAGGCAATGCATTGCTAACTAACATGCAGCAGATAACAGAAATAATAATATATTCGAAAAACTCACCGGAGTTCTTATTAATACAAATAAGTATTCTTCCGGACACATATCTACATAAATTCTGACTAAAAATTAAAAAAATTAACCTGGATTTTAACAAGCTCCACTTCACGAGCGACCTCTACTTTCCCAGAAAGGAAAAAACTAATTTTATCCCGATAATACGTACCGTTTCAGGTTCTGCATAATTAACAGTCTGCCCCTAGCGGTAGTAGGTATTATCAACAGAAAGTGATTCAAAATAAAACCAAGGCAAACTTGAGTGGGTTACACTCCTATTTCTGTATAGGTCATAGATGGTACATGTGCTGCTTTTATTCTCTTACGTCATTTTGATATAAGAATAACTAATCAAGTGCGGTTTTTATGCATACTTTTTTGATGATCCATAAAGAAGAATTAAAAATGACAAGGTCTACCATACATATCATCCATCATCTATAATCCATCCATCTTTCAGCTACCTATCGGTATAGGACTGAGGGGTACAGAATCTACCATTTGGACAACTAGACAAAAGCAGAGTATTTTTGTTGTTGTTGTTCATGTACAATGAAACTCTGTGTGCTTCTCTCCAAACTTATAAAAGACAAATAAAATAAAATACAAAACTAATGTAAACAGTGTTGACAAACAGCATCATGCTGAATGGTGAATCGAAGTGCAGTAGTGCAATCACATTTTTAACAGTTATGATTCAGAAAACTGGATTTTCAAGAGGATTATTCAGACTCTTGTGTGATGGAAGTTTTAAGCTAAATTGTGTGTGGTTCTAACATATTGGATAATAGCTTCTACGTTCTTTTGTTGTCAGCTGAAAGCAGTCGGAGAGGCCCTTTCCCCAATGGCCAATAAGGTTGTTAACCTTCGAGTGAATTATGGAGCGATATCTGAGACCTGGATGCAGAGAACAAACAGCGAAGGCATTGCCTTTTTCTCACTGAACACTTCCCACTGGACGCAAGACCGTGTCAAACTCCGGGTGAGAATCTGCTCCTGCTCCTGCCTCCTAATGCATAGAGTGCATACACTGCCACCAGGGGGCACCATTGGGGACACCTCTTAAGGTGGTAAGATGAATTGCTTAGGTAATACTTTCTATGAATCTCTCAATTATAATGCATAATAGACACTTACATAATGCATTACAAAGCATTATTATGAGCTATCTAAAACACATTATAGATATGAATGAAGCCTTACATTTCTTGAGATAGACAATAAATTGTCCATCCATCCATTGTCCAACCCGCTTATCCTACTGGGTTGCGGGGGGTCCGGAGCCTATCCCGGAAGCAACGGGCACGAGGCAGGGAACAACCCTAGATGAGGGGCCAGCCCATCGCAGGGCACACTCACACACCAATCACTCACATATGCACACCTAAGGGCAATTTAGTAACGCCAATTAGCCTCAGCATGTTTTTGGACTGTGCGGGGAAACCGGAGTACCCGGAGGTTATTTAGAATTAAATAACCAAACAAATAAATTAAGAAGTTAACTGAAACAGAACCAAGGCTTTTTACTAGTACGCAGAGAGACTGTGTCATGCTAGCAGCTTTTTATACATATAATTCAGTTACAAAAATGAA